TTCGTCTAAACAAAAGAAATTCCACTATGCAACCAAGGAAACCACATCCCATATATGCAACCAAAGACCCATGCATATTCCGTCTCCATAGCCGGGTGGCCGTGACAGCTAGTGGTTCTGGTACAATACATCAAACCAACTCTGAGGATGGAGTTGAGGAGGAGGGGGGCTCAAAAATCCAAATAGCCCTAGAAGAAAAAAGCCAAGAAGGTATCTTGGTAGGAAGAGATGGAAGAAGCTACGCCGAGGTTGCCTCAGGCAGAGGACCAACAGGCGGTGATAGCAGAATTGGAAAAAAAACTCTAGATGACACGATTGTTACTGGAGACAATGAAGAGAGGAATCCTGTTAAGGATGGACTAGCTCAAGAGGGAGTTGGCAGAAGAGAAGGGAGCAAGATATGAGTTGGAGAAAGAGTTGACAAGCCAGGAGGCACAGGGTCGAAGACATGTGGAGAGGACAGTAAGAACAGTCCGCAGGATCAATTGTGGCTACTACTACGAAGAAAAAAGATAGGGAGACAATGGGAGATGGCAGGATGACTGAAGCCCCAAGAGACTCGGGCTGAGGGAGAGGGAAGCTAGTATTACAAACTGTGACTAAGCAAGGCAGATTTCACATAACTTGGAATTCCGAGTTATAGGTATGTTGGGATTTCACATGATGCACACTAGTGCACCATAGGTTATTATGTTTACCTGCTCATGACTCACAGTTGTGAGTCACACGATGTTATGATTTTCACACATGACTCAATTTATGAGTCATGGGTTTCACTCAGGTGACGCGAGTTGCGCACCTGATTTAGTTATTAGGTTTTGATTGGTTTAAGGTATGTTGGGCAGCAACTCATAGGAGTCAGCTGAGGAATTTCACATAACTCATAGTTATAAGTCACAGAGTTCATATGACACAAGGTATGAGTCATGCTAGGTGAAGACCGAATATATAAAGGGTTACTAGGACCCCAAGTATGAGCTCTTTACACATTCTTCTTATTTATTTCTTACCTTTATATTTTACAATAAAACCTATCTCTACACTCTTTAAGATTTATCTTAAGAAACTCAAGAATTGTCTTTTCTCCCAAGACGAAAGATTAAGTCCTAAGTAAGGACTCAGGAATTTCCAGAGAAATAGGTATGATAAGATAGAAGTTGAGGGACTAGACTATCACCTTCATGTAGGCAACGGGCTAAGAACTATTACCTCGTACCTAAGTAAGAGTTGTTACCTGTCGCACTACTTACTTGCTTGGTAAGATTCTTAACAGTTCCCCCATAACCGACTCACCATAAAGGACAACACAACAACCATTTTCATCTGTCCTTCAGTATCAAGCAGCCAAAGATGTGCATCATCTATCAAATTATTCCTGCTTTTCAAAAATCCTGACTTACAAACAATTGTAGGAAATCGCATGGTCTTCAGGGTCATATTTTTTCTTTTTTTTGTTTTACTTGTTGATTATTTGTTTAGGATACAAAAAATATATAGAGCACTAGCTATAATGACAAAAAAACCATATCCCTCCACTTGCCACAGGAAAAAGCCAACCCCCCAAGCCCCTCTGGTATAGAGCTAACTGCACATCTCGCCTCAAAGAAAAGAAACCCAACCCTGGCTAGAGGGATGAACAAAGAAATCCTAACTAAGAAGAAAGCAGGAAGGGCCAGGAAAACCTACTGAGAAATCCCAAAAGAACAAAAGAAAGGTTAGTAGCAAGCCACGTAGGGCCCCAGGGGCCAAGTCCACTTAGTTCAAGCAGAGAGCAACACCAGAGTGTACTGATATAGGGGGCCCTCTCTCAGACTCACTTCAAGGAGACAGTGCGATACTATAGAATGAAGGAGGAGACCAACCAGCTGTGGGCGATAACTGGGGGAATAGGGAAGAGGGTAGTAGGGTGCCAGCCCATCTGACTGTAGAGAAGGGAGATCAGAGGAGTAGACCCGAAGACCTTAAATACCATCTATTGGTAATCATGTTCATGTCTGACTAGGCAGCCTCTTAAGGAAACAAGAGAGTAAGGAGATCGACCGTAGCCTATTGGCTGTTCTCCCCTACTGCAAACTGTAGTCCCGGCTGTCTAATGATAATGGTTAAGGGGTTGCCGACCATGAGTAGGCTCAGCGAGGCCAACTCAGGAGGAGGAGAGGGCTCCCTACTACATGTTGAGGGAAAAGAGAGGGGGAGTAAGGAAACCCATCAGCCTCCTAAGTGAAGCAGGTATTTTACCTCAACTCTCATGTAGTCCCTTACTCTGGGAGAGATAGTGTCACTGTAGTAGAAGGGATCCTACTACCAGCTAGTCGAAGGAGGCCTCCAAGAGACCAACCCTTAGGGAGAGGAAGGGCCCTACGATGGTAGACTGAAGTCAATACCCCAGGCTATCGCAGCTACCCAACCATAGAGACAGAATAGGCATGGGGCTTTGGTTGCGTTTATTGGTTGTGGTTTTCTTGATCGCTATATGAGGGATTTCCTTTGTATTATGATTAGGATGTGTTGCTGCGTAACAGAACTCGGTGGAACATGGCAGAGATATCACGGCTCCGCGCAATGCCAAGGGTTTTCTTTTATATTAGTGATCAGGGAGGATTTTCTTTCTATATAAGGGCGTGTGCCCCTTATATTTTATATTCTTTACACAATCTAATAATCTTCTTTGAATACCTGTACCTAGGAATTATACTTTCTTTTGCTTCGCATCCTCTTAAACCCTTGAGCCCTGACCCTGAACCTCGGAACCCCAAACCTCATACAACTCACTTTGGTTGTACCCCCATACCCAGACCTCGCCTCCAGATTCCTGCCTGCCCTGATTGTGATATACCTTAGACTACCCAACCCTTAAACCCTGTCCGTTATACAGGCATGAGAGGAGAAGAGCCAGACTCCCCTAGGCTGAAGTCAAAGGCAGCAGTGGGCAGGAGGGTGGTGATGATCTCTCGATGAAACTCACGGTGTTGAGTTTTCAATCGCCAGAGGTGTAGCGGAGACGGAGGATATCTTCAGTATCATATAGCCATCTGGCAATTTGGAAGATCCGCTGCTCCACTTGCCCCTGAAACCTTCAAACGCTGAATAGAGTTAGCCAGATTATTCTCTAGGGGAATTGTTTTAATACGTACTAGTACTTGTACCAATGGAAAATAACTGACTGGCTTTTAATGATCTGATCTTTCCAGTCAGAAAGGAGGAAAATATGTAATTGAAAAAGAAATAGAGTGAGTCATGAGTTGGTATTGCCATATACTTTATGATAAGCCACTCAGTAAAGGAATTGTATTCATAACGAATATGTTTGTTCTCTTCGAGTTCTGGGTTTTCGATGGTCCAGCTATCAAAGTCCTTGATTGAAATGTGTTCACAGGTCTTCATCCGCTGTTTCGAGGAGTTCCAATATCCTTGGCTGCCTCAGTTCTTGTAAAGTTATGGCGGATTCCATGGAGAAGTTGTTGACCTCGAAGTTAGAAACCCCCATAATGTCCGCCGACCTGCCGCTCTTCAGAAGGATAGGGGGTTCACCAATGGTGATGCGAGTGGCAGAGGGGCGGGTTGGGGTTGGTTTGTGCGGGGGGGTACAAGATCGGGGTTGCGCATTGGGAGTGGTGAACTCAGCTTTCTTTTTTTGAAAGGAGTGGGAGGTGCTATTTTTGGTATGTAGACACGGTAGGCATTAACCGTGCCAAGGTTGTGGCGGAGCCACAACCCACGGTCGCTCGCAACTCGCAACCTTGGGCACTCTCTTCCAGAGAGTGCCCGACAGCTCAACGTCAGATTTGATTAGTATGTGAATTTAAGAATTTCGGACCACTCCCGATCCCTCAAACCCCATTCAACCTCCTCACACATTGTTTTAAGCCGCTGTAAATATGTCCCTGATTTCTTTTCCTCTCTTTTACAACTTTTATTTTTGTGTGGTGGGACTTTGGTTTGGATTAGGCATGAAAGTGACGTTGAGCCGAATCTGATGTTGAGCTGTCGGGCACGTCGTAGATGTGCCCAAGATTGCGAGCAATCGAGGGTTGTGGCTCCGCGACAACCTTGGCATGGTTATAGCCTGGATAGCCTGAGGATGAAATTCGGGGCGAAACACCGCCACCTCCGGCCGGAATAAGCTCTCGGTCATCCCAACATGAGCATTTATTAGACCACATGATGCTTCAATTAGAATTAATTGAGAAAATGGTAAGAGGATGATAGTAGAATGCGGATTAAGAGATGGTTAGAGGAAGAAGAGAAAAGGGGGCGAGGAGAGAAGGATATATAGATGACAGAGTGTGTACACGCCCCGAAGAATCTGATTCATTCGTCTACAAAGTCGTCAGCCACACACAAACCGAGTCAGTTTTTCCGCTTCCCATAGATTCGCATGCACTCTCGCGCTAGAGCTGCACGGGATGTCGTCACTTAATTGAAGGGATGAATCCTTGTATTATGGATCTCGTCAAGGCATCTACCGAGTGCAGTACTGTGCAGGATGTGAACAACGAACTCGCCCCGATGTGTAACAAACAACTGTACCAGCCTGGAGCGAAAAGTGATCGGAAAACCTGCTGGTTGCAGCCAACCGCTTTTTTTCCGATCACTTACGCTTACACCCGTGTACAAGTTTGCACTATCTTCTTACAGGGTGGTACTTACGAATGAATCCAAGGACTTGACAGGGGGGAAAAACAAATACAAGGCGTACACTTTACTGCACTTCTACAGTAGTAGCGTTACGGCAGGTTGCCTTGTGGTTCTTGTCTACTTTTATGCGATATTTGCCAGCTCATCTTCGAATTCTTCATAAACCTTTTTTTTATTCAAAAGCGATCCGGAGGCGCACTTCGCCTGGTAAAAATGAATGATTATCATATGGTATAAACGGGAATCAACTAGTTTTTCCCTATGATTTGAAAAAAGCAAATACTAACAAACCAATTGAACGAAGCAGAGAAAAGGGAAACTGATTCCCCAACAGAAAGAAAAGGAAGGGGAGAGGAAAAAATTTAACGACCCTCAATAGAGGCAATAGCACTCCTCAATGCCCCATCAATATCAACATGGAAAAACAGCCCACCAATCCCACCAATGATGACAGGAACCCTCCGCTTACCAGCACCAGTCGTTCCAATCCTTCCGACCCCATTATCGTCCTCTTCGGAGGAGCGGCTCCCATTAAGCGGTCTCCTACCCTCCTTATCAAAGCCCTTCTTCTCTCTAAGGCTTTCATCAACGACAACTGTCTCCTCAATGCTTGCGGCTGAGAATACAGGAGTCCATCCGGCTTTCTTTTTACCATCATAATCCCCCTCTATATCACTGGGGAATCCGAATCCTGCGGCAGTCAAGGCACGCTTGGTCCAGCGGGACCCGATAGAGATGAAGTGCCATTCTACTATGTCGGGTGCGACGTACCAATCCAATTGCGTGCGCATGTCCATGAGATTCTGCACAGAGGTGATGTCGACGATGTTCACAGAGGCAAAGTCTAGGATTACGGCGCGGAGTATGGGCCGCGACCGAGGACTTGGGTGGGGGGTCATTCCAGGCCCGGTCTCCCGGGTCGATGATTGTCGCGGACGTGTTAGGCCGGGTAGCAGAGAAGATGTGCTGCACGAGGTTTTCGGTGTAGTGGGAGGCGTTGGCGTAGATGATGCCTGGGCATTATTAGTCAGGGACTATAAGGAAGAGGAAGGAGAAGTGAGAGAATTACCTTCCGAGAAGCGGTACATGAAGATTCCCAGATATGGGCTTACGACCCTTAAGCTTGGGTTTGAGCCGTCAGCCAGATCCAATGGTAAGTAAACGTTTCTAGCACTGTTGTCATCAAGACTGCGCCCCAGAGTCTTCTTTGCAGCGCTGCCCTTAACCAATTCCGCAGGCGCATTGTGCAGCGCGACTTCACTCCCTTGGTCACTACGGTCGTCGACTCTATATAGACTAGCACCCGTGACCGAGCGGACCTGAACTTTACCCAGTAGATGCCCCTTCGCCTTCGCAATCCTGAACAACATAATGCCGGCAGACAGCGCAATTGTAATGTAGATTCCATTCTCAATGGATGTGAATACTGTCACAATGACACCCGCGAAGAAGATGACCACTTCTAGCGGGGAGATGCACCAGAATTTGCACACTGTGTTGGGGGGGGTGATCAGATCGCTGACAGCGTGGATGATGACGGCGGAGAGACTGGAATTGGGGATGTAGTAGAACACCGAGGTCAGGAGGTAAATAGCCAGCAGGACGACAATACCAGTGATTACTCCAGCGAAGGGTGTGCGCACACCGGCTTTTGACTTGATAGCTGTGCAAGAGAATGATCCAGTGGCGGGGTATGTGCCGAAGAATGGGCCGAAGATATTGGTGACCCCGATCGCGATGAGTTCCTGAGATGGGTTAATCTGGTAGTTGTTTATTCTACCAAATGACTTCGAAATCGCCTGATAATCATTCTTGGTTAGCGGGCAGTCTAGCAATTAGTGATCAAAGATGGCGCAGAACATACAATATGCTCAATAACAGCACAATAACCGCCGCCAGCAAATCATCCACGAAAACGTTAAAAATCTTGGCCTTCGCCTTTGGAACACCCATGTGCTTGAACCCGGAAGGGGCAGTTCCAAGGATCTTGAAAAGTACTTCCTTGGGGGAACGTCCCCAATTCACCAGCCAGGCAATTAGAGTGTGCAACAGGATCGTGAACGCCGTTCTCAACGTGGAGATGAAAAACCAAGTCTTCTTATGACTAGGATATCTCTTCGGTAAGTAGGTGCCGGTGATCCAACGAATCAGGTACAATAAGAACAAGGCGGTTAATCCCATTGCTGTATCCAACTGTGCTGTGTGAAGGTGCTTTAGGATATTGATAATGACCTTGTACGTAGGGTCACAAGTGTTAAATCCAGAGAGACCGAGCAGGGAGCCGACCTGGCCCGTTGCGATACTAATAGCAAAGCCAGTCATGAATGCGACAATTGCTATAAGGGGGATGTATTCTACTATGAAACCCAGACGGAGAAGGCCCATTGCGGTCACGATCCCGCCGCAAACCAGGGCTAGCAAGGAGACGATATCTTCTTTTGTATAGGGGAAAGTTTTCGAATGTTTTGGGGCTTTAGATACGATGTTGCTGACTAGCGTGGACATTACTGCCACTGGACTGATTGTGATATCTTTTGAAGTTGCGAAGAACCAGTAGATCATAACTCCGACGAATGACGAATAGAGACCGAATTCACCGGGGAGGAGCGCGAGCTTGGCATATGCCACTATAGTGCAATTGCGAAATAGTACATCACCCTCAATTCGTCAATTGATTGCAAACAAGACGGCGAGAGTATTCAATCGTTCCAAACCCACAAATAAAAGATAAAAAAAGGGGGGGAGAGGTAAAACAAAAAGGTTCAGAGAAATTGAAAGAATGAGAAGAAAGTCAAAACTTACTCCCTTGAGGAATTACGACGCACCCCACCGTGATCCCCGTGACCAAGTCTTCATACAACCATTTTAGATTATATCTTCCGATCCACGAAAGAAACGGTATAAGGCTAAGGAGGTAAGAGACAAAGCCGGGCACCGATGGTTCGTATTGCTGGAACCATTCCATCATGGTTGGCTCATGCTCAATATATGTTGTCCCCAGACCGCCCCTATCATGACCCTCTACCACTCTAGGAATTGGAGCCTCCTTAGCATGGTGGCCTGGATTCAGGTCTATCCGCAAAAACCAGGCCAGGCCATGGCCTATCCTTGTAGATAAGGGGGCCAACATCTGGGGGAGGGGGAAGGAGGAGAGGTTGCTTTGTGTTGTACAATGAAGGGAGTGGCACGGCCACCTGGCCATGGAGACGGAATATGCATTGGGGTTTTTCGTTGCATATATTTGGTTTGGTTTCTTTGGTTGCATAGTAGGATTTCCTTTGTAGTATGATTGGACCTGTTGCCGTGTGGCGGAACATGACAGAACCTGATGGAAGAATTGTGGCTGTGCTCGACACCAAGTACTTTCTTTTGTAATAGTGATCATGGAGGATTTCCTATCTATATAAGGAGGTGTGCCCCCTTATATTTTACTTTCTTTACGCAATCTGGTAATCTCCTTCAGGCCCTTGTACCTAGGAATTACACCTTTTTTCTACTACATATCATCTTGACCCTGTGAACCCTGACCCTGAGCCCCGGACCCCCAGATCTCGTACAACATGGTTAGGTTGTCTGCTTGTACCTTGTCCTCACTTCCGAACTCCTGCCTCCTCTGATCGTAGTGTGCCTTGGGCTACCCAACTCTCAGACCCTGCCTATTACACAAGATTGCATCTACCAGGACCCAACCCACACCCAGCTATGGCCACCTCCTACCTCTCTGAAGAAGTCAATGGTCAACTCCAGGCCCTTGGGGCTATTGGGAATGAAGGCATCTAAGGCTTAACCTACGCCCAGATCCAAACCCAGTTCACCCTTGCTAGGGACCTGGTTCGCCAAATCCTGAACACCCCCGCTCCACCTCTCCGACAAGCAACACTACTCCCACCCGAACAGACCCCTCAGTACCAACAGTTACAACAACACTGTAATACTCTAGCCCAAGAACGAGATAATGCATACCCTGAAGGTCAAGGCCTCAAGGCCTGGCTTGTTATCGTCGAAACCAGCGTCACACAGGCCAACGCTACTATCACATCCCTGAATACCGCCCTCGCCCTCATGCTTGTCCCCAGTGCCGCAGCCCCTGCCAGTGGTAACAAACAAGTCTCGATCCCCGACCCTAAACAATTCGCTGGTACTACCGAAAAACTTCGCCCCTTTATCACCCAGCTATGGATGAAACTCCAGGGTGACACCCACCAGTTCTCTAGTGAACAACACCGCCTTGGCTATGCTATCGGCCTTCTCCATGGATGCACCTTCATCCAGATCCAATACCGAGTCCTAGGAAATCGCATCGACTTTGAAGACATGGAGGCGCTTATAGCTGAACTGGAACAAGCCTTTAGCGACCCCAACAGGGTCCAAACGGCCGAATAGGCTCTGAGGAGTCTCCAGCAAAAGAATCGGCCATTGGTGGAATACCTCGCTGATTTCCAGTGTCTCGCTGTCGACACCCTATGGAACGATGCCGCCAAGTGTACCTCCCTCTATCAGGGCCTCAGTACAGAGCTGAAGAATGCCCTAGTATGTGTCTTCCCTGTCCCGGAATCCTTTAACGACTGCCTCTTCCTCCTCAAGCAGCTTGACAACAATGTCCGCGCCCGCGCTGCCGAAAAGAAAGGCTCCTCTTCGTCATCTTGGAAGGCCTCCACCCCCTCCGCTCCCCGTAACCCTACTCCAGCTCCACTCCCAGCCTCCAGAGCAACCGATACCGCATCCGGTCCCATGGACCTCTCAGCAGGACGTCGAAAGCTCTCCCCTGCCGAAAGGCAAGACCAAATTACCTGTGGCCTTTGCCTCTACTGCGGAGGACATGGACATATGGCTCGTGCCTGCCCCAACAAAGGACCGTGCCCCATGTATGGGGCCAGCACTCATGTCGCCCCCACTCTTGAGGAGCCCCTCCCTGCCCAAGAAGAGTTGGAAAACTAGTGGTCCCATGTGCACCCTCCAGCACTGACATGGAACATGTTAAGTCTTCTCCTTGTTTAGTTATTTCTAGTTCATCTTTGGACGAAATAGAAAATGGAATTGAGGATAACCACTTGGTAGTCACCTGTGATATTATAGACAACCAATACGTAATCCGATCCCATGCCTTTATCGACTCTGGAGCAACTAGTTATACTTTCATGGACAAAGACTTCGCTAGCGGTCACCACCTCCTCTTGTACCAGCTCAAAGAACCTGTACCTTTCTCAGTCATAGACGGGAGGGAGACCCATTAGTTCTGGTGCAATTACCCACACAGCCCGCTTTGACCTCAAAATCAACAACCACCTAGAGTCCGTCCCCGCTTTTGTTACCCAACTGGGTGGCTACCCTCTTACGCTCGGCATCCCCTGGCTGAAACAACATGATGTCACTATTTGCTTCGCCTCCAATACCATCATCTTCAAGTCTGACTACTGCCTTAAAAACTGTACCCCAGATGTCACTAGTATCCAGGGAATGGAACATGAGATCCCTCACTTCCTTAAGGCCTATGCCATCCAATGGGCCCTCGACCACACCTTGTTGGAACACCAAGAAGTCAAAGAAATCGTCCCGTCTGTCTACCACGACTTCCTACCCGTATTCCTGGAAAAAGAACAAACACAACTACCACCCAGTCGGCCTGGCGTGGACTACGAAATACCCCTCAAGCCCGGCTTGTAACGGGGGCTCCCTCAGGAAGATGGATTCTAAGGATACGACTGCACCAAACTTCGAATCTCTCGAACAAAAGCTCTTGCAAAATTGTAAGGAATAAAAGTAACGGTAAAACTTAATATCGTTAAGCTCAGGCTTATCTCAATTAAAGTCTCTCGAGAGGATGTTGATTCTGTCGTGGTAGGAGAGTTCTCGTATAATCTTTAAGTAATCAGACTTATACCAAAAACTCCCCCATCAGGTTACCCCGACCAACATGAGTATGCCCTTCTCCATGAGGGTTGCCTAATACCAATACCGCGTCCCAAAAGGGCTTAAGGCATAAGTGCACTCTAGCAAAAATCTCCCATATGCTCATCGGTTTCTGCAAGGTGTTTACCAATAAACCTGCCAGAGTAAAAACTTCTGCACATTGGAGTCTTACCAGTGGCTAACTGTCAAGACCCCTAGGACAGCTAACTAAGTGACTCTCTTCCCATGTGCTATGACCTATACAAACACCCATAGACATCAGCAGTCTTTTCCGGCTAAGGTCTATCTATCAAGATTGCGAACTTAGAGGATCTACGGCATTCCGACGGAGAGCTGTGATGGCGACGGGACTCATAGGCACTACCCATAGTCCCTTACCCCCGACAGACCACTCACGATGATAAGTATCATACTATTAGAGTCTTCCAATAACCCATAAAGAGCCTATGGCAAAGGGGCACGTGTAGGCTTGATTGGCATAAAACCTTCCCAGATGTCTCTGGCACTACCCGGGACTACTCTGGGGACCCTTCCGGATAGCTCATGCTAACTCCGTCAGTTTTGGTCCGTTTTACTCCGTTCCTTTTGGAGAAGGTACTTCACCTTTTCACCTAACCCCCTTATATATCCTGCGAACAGCTATCGGACGGACGGACGGCAGCAACGTATACAGTGTTATGGACATGCCTCCAATGATTCCATTTAACTAGTAAGACGGCAACTTCAACCATTTAGGCCCATGACACCCAGGGCGAACCCTGGGGCCGCAGGTACCTCAGGAGTTATTCTGCAAAGTTACAGCATGTTCGGAGCACTCTAGCCCCTTCCGTAGTCTTCCGATCATTGTGCAAACAAGTGCCCATCAGCAAAAATTTCACTTTGCGTCCCGTGCGTCCCATGCATCTGACGCACGGGACGCCCAAATGCAAACCGTTAACCTGGACGCGACTTCCCGCGGACGTCGCGTCCAGATTTGCCTTCCTCTTGCGCAACCCGTCCTGACCCCACCGGACGTGGATGCCGACGTCCCCTGCGTCCAGAGATTCCACGCTCTCTTCTCCTCCCGTCCGGAGATTCCACCCTTCCCTCTCCTCGCGTCAGGAGATTCTCCGCTTTCTTCTCCTTGCGTCCTGACTATCCCTGTGACCCTTTACTACTTCCTGCTATCGTCTGATTCTGCTCCGTCCCATCTGACTTTGCCCACCCCCTGGCCTTTGACGTCCCAACCCTACCCGTCACTGGCAGCATTAATCCTGATATTTTAAACGACTCCTCTTAACTCTCAACGTGATGACCCAGCGCTCAAAGATCTGGATTATCTCCCGTCCAAACAGGTGGTCTTGATCTCTACTAGTACGCCCTGGACACTTTTGCGCCGATGTCCCTTGCGCCCAGATCTTTCAACTTATGTACCGTTTGCGTCCCCCGGCGCTGCTTTCTTGGCCAGATTCTCCCGCTACCAATCAATCATGATCCAGACCTTCGTGGCTCCTGGTTCTTGCTACCCGATATTTCATGTCACAATACATAGTGGATGTTTCCTCCTCATCCATACCTAACAGACTTATTTGCCTAATCTGGTGGGATTCCCTCTAGTTGACCCTGACACTTTATGTACAATATTATGCCGTCGCGGTGCAATCCCAACTACGTCCCCATCCCCTCATGCACACTGGCTCCTACTGTGTCTCCGCGCAGTACCTCTTCCGATTGTGATTGCTCCAATCCTCCTTCACCCATAACCTAGTATCGACCTCACGAATTCTGCCCCCGCCTCTCCTCCGTGATAAGCAACTACAATGGGCCGCCCGGTCCGCTGGGATCCCTTTCGGCCGCTACTCCATGTTCCTCAGGTGACTACTCAAGACTAAGCGATAGCTGTGAGGCCGGAGGAGGGCTGCTAACAATCTCCGTCGGTCGACATGTGATGTCGTGGAGGAATCCACTGATTGGATCAGAATCAAGCAACGCCAGCGCCAGGGCAGTGGACGTCTGACCAAAACTTGTGGTGACATCGGTGTCCTGCGACTCATTTTGTCTGCCCCGTAGCCTCGCTGGGACGAGCATGGGTGAATCAGTCACAGTATCGCTGCGCCAGGGGGGTGGTGGTCGCGATTCCAGGTTCGACTTCAGGCTCTCTAATTCAGCACTGACCCAGTCCCAGTCGTCGTCATAGCCTTCTCGTCGGTCTTGGTGGACCCCGCGTTTTTGCATGATCTT